TGGACAATAGATTCATTTGCATGAGTGTTCGAACTATCGTATCGAAGTCTCGGATATATGGTACAAATTCCACTCGACTGATATCACAGTGATGGAGTCTCAATCCATAGAGTCAGGAAAATTATTCAAATTAACCAGGCAGTTATAAAAGATTTCAATCAAGGAACTAACCGACCCTAGCCCTAACTCTGCCGAGAATTGATATGACTTGCTCAAAGGATTCCAACGTTTCTAAAAAAGGAAATTTAAAAACTGTCATATTATAAGAACCTGAAAATCGTAGTAAGAAAAATGTGGAAACTTTAAACTACGATTATCTCTGTTGTGATACGGCTGTTGAGTATAATAATGAAAGGTACCGAAAATTGCTGGACCCATCAGTATCTCAGAGCTACAAAGGATTACGATATAAAAATAGTAAAGTTGATGCAAATAGACCAGAGATTGCTATAAAAGATTTCAAAAAAAGTAACCAATTAACCAGGCTTCTATTAGTCGCATTTCACGCTATAGATAACTTATTCTAACTAAAATTCCTGCAAAATTTCTGAACACATCAGTATCTCAGGGCTACAAAGGATTACTTTGTGCGGAACTGCACATATCATCCGCAAAACCGTCTCCATCGAAACGAAACGTCTCAAATGGGAATAGATAACTCACCTACACTGCCCTTTTTTTCACTCACAGACCCCGGGGGGAGGATTTGCTAATTAGGCATATACAATTACTCTCCGACAGGATGATACCACACATCATAATAATAATTATAAAAAAAAGATGTCCGATTTTTTTTCAAAGTTGCTCAGTGGAAAATGTCATGAGAGGCATTTCTGACCTTAAGCCTCTGGTCGGGACCCGGAAATAAATGAGTATACAGTAGAAATCAAAGGAAATAATAATAATAATAATAATAATAATAATAATAATAATATGTGTCTCTAAGGTAAGCATTTACTTGGATCAGGAATATGTAAATATTAGTTGTTTACAACCCTCAGGCAGTAAAATTGATGCAAATCGACCAGTGATAGCCATAAAAGATTTCAAAAAAGGAACCTATTAACTAATTGATATGACTTGCTTAAAGGATTCCAATGTTTCTAAAAAAATGAATTTTAAAAACTGTCAAATTATAAGGACCTGCAAATCGAAGTAAGAAAAATGTGAAAACTTTAAACTACGATTATCTCTGTTGTGATACGGCTGTTGAGTATAATAATGAAAGGTACCAAAAATTGCTGGACCCATCTTATCTTAGAACTGCACATGTCATCCCCAAAATCTCGGCATCTAAACAAAGGGCCCCAAATGTACATAGATAACTCCCTTCTTACCTACATAGCCGGACGGGACTAGTTAATTAGTAATTGTTGTTTGGTTTTTCTTTTATCTTACGTTATCTTCTCACCAATTCTCATAGTATAACCAATCAGATGCTACCTCGGTCAGAAATTTCATTTGGGGCATGGGATTCAAGCTCAAATCTCCCTGATCAAATCTAATTAAAGGGATATGATATAAGATCTGAACAGTGTGGATACTGAAATCAACACTGATTGTTTTACTCTTTGAGCGACCATCAGGCTATCAAGTTATTTCTCTTTTTCTGCCTGAAGTTCTGGGATAAGGAATTATCATTATTTGCATCCGGATCATTGTCCTCATCTTTGTTGTTTTTATCAAGGCGTTTCGGCCGTGGTACCCTCGGGCCTTCATCAGGTGGATTAAAACGTTAATTCTTATATTTGGTGACTGGGACCAGCAGTGTGTACTTTGGTTTAATGAAAACAGGGCTAGCAGTAACTGAGAAGCACCAAAATATACCAAATAGAAGAAATATCCCTCGGCATGGTCAGTGTAACGAGAACCGGTTAACCGGATCCACATACACCTGATGAAGACCGGTGTGCACAACGGCCGAAACGTTGTGATAAAAACAACAAAGATGAGGATAACAGCATGTAACAACATTTATCTATATTACTCTACGGTAGGGAATTTTGAACTGAAGCAAAATCAATCAATGAAGTTGCCGAACTCGTTTTGAAACCACCTGTTACAGATATGTGTAGGAGTTACCTCACTTGGCGACGATTGTCTCCCTTGAAAGAAGAACTCTCCCTCAATTAGATACTATATATAACGGTCTAGCCGTGCCTCATTCACACTCAATAAATCTTTCTTAAGGTTTATCACGCCTCCGAGTTGTTATTGCAGTATCCTTAATGTGAAATATTTATTTGTAAAACTAATCTATCGGAAACGTAGCTGACACATTTATGACGGTCTTAATCCAACATGGCGCTTGAATATAAAACGTATTCCAAGTTAATGAGGTTGCTTCTTATGGAAAATGCAATTATATCAAATGATTGAAGCAGAGGAATGCAATTTCTGATCAGTGTAATTCAATATTGTATTGTAATTTTTTTTTCATTTGATGAACTCGATTCGAACCATCTTTTCACAGTTATATGCTGACTGCTAAAAGAACCAACGATATTAGAAAGGAAGGCAGTCTACGAGGAATCAACCGACGGGAATGGGACATTCCGGCGTAACCCATTTGGCACCGCTGATTCTACTTCATCATTATAGCCAAATTTCTCATCTATCTATCTATCTATCTATCTATCTATCTATCTATCTATCTATCTATCTATCTATCTATCTATCTATCTATCTATCTATCTATCTATCTATCTATCTCAATAGTCAAATTAGTACTTCGTCGTTATATATTCCAATAGTCCAATTAAAGAAAAAGAAGGTACTTTTTATATTTAAGAAAAGGAGTAGTTGGAGGCATTTTTATATTTAAGAAAAGGAGTAGATGGAGGCATTTTTATATTTAAGAAAAGGAGGAGTTGGAGGCATTTTTATATTTAAGAAAAGGAGTAGTTGGGGGCATTTTTATATTTAAGAAAAGGGGTAGTTGGAGGTATTTTTATATTTAAGAAAGGGAGTAGTTGGAGGCATTTTTATATTTAAGAAAAGGAGTAGATGGAGGCATTTTTATATTTAAGAAAAGGAGTAGATGGAGGCATTTTTATATTTAAGAAAAGGAGGAGTTGGAGGCATTTTTATATTTAAGAAAAGGAGGCATTTTTAAATCTAAGAAAAAGAAATTTATTGATGCCTTACGGAAAGTTCAGAAAGAACGTGATGCATTTCTCGAAAAGGTTGATCGCTGGATATCCCCCCCACTCAACAAAAATCTTAAAAAAAATATAGAGATGCTGACGAACGAATAAAAAAAATACATAATAGAGGTTGAATCATTAGATCCTTTTTGATTTCCTGAAGGATGTTCATAATTACGAAATGAAGAAGTAATTTCTAAGATTAAATAGGTTTACTAAGTTTTTTTAAGCTTTTTTAAATACAATATTTTTAATTTACATTATTCCATTTGTGTTTAATAGGATTCTACATTCCCTAAATGAATAAAAAAAAAACTCATATTTAAAGTTGGGTGTTTTCAATGCTTTCATCCAGTTTTTTTTTTTTCGGGGGGGGAGGGTGGGGTATGTGTTGCCTTCAGTCAAAGACAGTGACGCCGAAACAGTCTGGCGCCTAAACGACTGTACTGAATAATCCAATTATTTTTCTGACGCCGAATCAGCCATGCTAAATGGGTTACGCTGAAAAGTACCAAACACTCGACCCGAAAGCCATTGATTAAGAAGCTGGATATTGGATAACAACGAGTCTTAGATAAATTAGAGGGCCATGCATCAAGACTTGCTCTCTACCAAGCATTTCATGGCAAAAATAGGAGAGTGCACCCAAGATCCTTATAAAGCACATAGAGAACATCACGTAGAATTGTGGATACTTTTCTTGGACGGAGAATAGAGAAGAAGCCTGGTCCGAAGAATCCAAATGTAACCGATGAAATAATGGTCAAATAAATACAGGGTGTCCCCAAAACTTTGACATCATTTTAAAAGCAATTATCTTGAAAACTACTAAGTCTATCTCAATGAAATTGAACAGCTTAGATGTTCAACATCATAAGTTTATTATGGGATCGATTTTATAAGTGTTCAATATGTACACCGCCTGTGATACGGCACACGTCAAGTCGGTAGTTAAGCTCTTGCCAAACACGCTGTAGCATGTCTTTAGTAACATTATCCGGCGTGGAAGTGATTCTCTGCTTGAGTTCATCACTGCTAGCAGGTGGGGACATAGACGTGTGCCTTCACATATTCCCGTGAAAAGAAATCACACGGGGACAGGTCCGGTGACCGCTGCGGCCATTTCATCAGCAAACTGTCTTCATCTCCACCACGCCCAATCCATCTCTCTGGCAGATTCTCATTGAGATACCAAAAATGAAACATTAAATATAAAATTTTGATTTGTTTCTTTACATTCTGTGACATTTTGACGTTATTTCAACAAGGATTGCCAAAATTATTAACCTGCGAAATGATGTTAAATTTTGGGGGACATCCTGTATATAATTTACTGAAAATGATTTTAAAAATATTTTTTCTTTAAATTCATTCTCAAAAAAAAAAAAATTCACTATATGATGTTTTATTGGTTAAAATTTCTAATCATAACGACAAGCGA